TTAGTTTTTTTTAATTTTAAGTGTTATTCTATGGAATCTTAGAATAGAAAAGTGGGTTAATAAGGGCCAGAATACTACCTAACATAACTGCATTTAAATTTTGGTAAATTATCGTATAGTTTGTTAGCTATACGAGTTTGAATTTTAAGTTTACCCCTGCACGAAATAAGCTGTGAGCCATTGTAAACAAAAACGGAGCAATTCACCGAAACAGGGAAAGTTGTTTTAAAACATAGAGTAATAAACTGTATAGAGACGCCATTTGCTCTGCCCGAACCTCTGCCCAAGCTCTGCTGAGAGCCAATTCAAGGCCAAGTTCGAAGCGAACTTAAATTTCTCACCGCATCCAACATGTGCGAAGCAACAGCAATAGCGGTGAGAGTCCACATACAAAAACAAAACAGTGAGTGAGAGCGGTGCAGATATATAAAATCCCATAAAACTCACCATGGGCCCGAAATGCATGTTTGAATCGAACATATGAAAAATTAGGGAAATTTTTGTTTTTCGCCTAGGTGGCATCATTGGCGATTTCGCCGAAGAGAGCGGCAGAGCAAATGGCGTCTCTATACATTATTACTCTATGTTTAAAACTACTCTAAGTGAACTATTTTGCATTACCCATGCCCTGGCGCCCTCAGATGGAAGGACAAATTCCATAGAGCATAGAGTAAGAAAATATATAGAGGCACCATTTGCTCTGCCGCTCTCTTCGGCGAATTCGCCAATGATGCCACCTAGGCGAAAAACGAAAATTTCCCTAATTTTTAATATGTTCGATTCAAACATGCATTTCGGGCACATGGTGAGTTTTATGGGATTTTATATATCTGCACCGCTCTCACTCACTGTTTTGTTTTTGTATGTGGACTCTCACCGCTATTGCTGTTGCTTCGCACATGTTGGATGCGGTGAGAAATTTAAGTTCGCTTCGAACTTGGCCTTGAATTGGCTCTCAGCAGAGCTTCCCTCTCTGTCTCTCTTAAGCGATAGAATGAGAAAGCTAGATCATGGTGGAACTATACAAGGTGGTCTCGTTAGCTCTGCTGAGGACGTTAAATATGTTTACCTCTCTGTCTCTCTTAGGCGATAAAATGAGATAGCTAGATGGAGACTGACACAAATAACGTCCTCAAAAGAGGGCAGCTCTCGCGACGAGATCACCTTGTATAGTTCCACCATCATAAACACACATAAACATATACATACATACGCCAAAAACTTTTGTCGCAACGCGCCGCGGCCTAACCGCATGTCTTCTTCTTTTTTCGTTTTGAAGAAAAAATGAGAAGCATAAAAGAAATACAAAGTTTTTCTTAAATCTATGGTGATTTTATAATTCTACTTTTCTATTTTCAAGAAAAAAAAAATTTTTTTTTTCAGAAAAGTTCTTTAAATTTAAAAAAATGTACCGTGTTTTTTATGGCGACTTTCTAGATTCTAGGAAGGCCTGAAGTACATTTTTTCTTAATTTAATGGCGATTTCGCACTATCGCCTACGAAAGAAAGCGCAAGGAGTCGTCAAGCCGTACAGCTTGATACAAGAGGTATGTACCCGCTGGAACAGCGCGTTCAAAATGGTAAATCGCATACTGTTGACCAACGAGTATATTTCTTCTGGAACCAAGGCGCCGGAACCCCTGGCAGCAGACGATATTGCGATCTTGGAGGATTTAAATGACGTAATACCTCCTTTCGATGAAGTTAAAACTCAATTATCTTAGTGTCCAAAGTAACTGTATCCTGCGTAATACCCATATCGAATGAACTTGTGCAGAGTTTGTATGAAAAAATCGAGCAGTTAAGACCAAAAGAAGGCAATGAACTGTGCACATAATTTTAATTGAGAAGTGTAAGAAACGACTGTTTCCCTTTGAATAAAGGTCCTCGACTCGTTTGGCCATAATTTTAGACCCTCGGTTTAAAAAAGAGGGTTTCAGGTTCCACTTTAATGCGGAGCAAGCCGTATCTGTACTTGAAAAAACCATTTCTTCTCTTCCCCATACCAACGAGCAACCCACTTTAACCATCGAACCACCGGAACCATCAAATCCGAAATCGTCGCTACTAAATTTTGTGAAACAAAATATAGAGTCGAAACAGAGGTCACACAAAGTGGAGTCCATCATACAGCTAAGGCAGTATTTCGAAATACTGGAGTATTGGAAGGAAAGCTATAAATATTATTATTTAAAATTTGTATACTGCAGCAACATGAATTAGAGATGCCCCAACTGGCTATAAACGCTACGCAGTGGCTCTGCGTTCCGGCTATCTCGACGGAATCGGATCGGATGTTTTCCAAGGCGGGCCTAATCATCTCCGATCGACGAACAAAAATTTGTTCCTAACCAAAGAAACATGATTCTATATTTTCTTTCAAATATGTATCTCACTTAAATTTAAACTAATTGCGTTTTTAACTGTCAATAATTGAAAAGGGAGCATAATTGCTTTACTTTTATAAAATAATTTTCTATACCCCTATTATGTTGGTTTTTACATAAATGCCCCTAGTGTTTATATATGAGCGATACTATCGCGATAGTATGGAGGTTTAGTCAGCAAAATATCAAAACTATCGATGGGACGACTATCGATTTTTTGCAGCTCTAATAGCCTCTTCCCATAGAGTCCATCCGTTTGAAACGGTTGGGATTTTTGACGAATGTGAAACTCGTGTTCCCACAGAACTCCATCCACCATCTACCATCCAATAACAGCTGAATGAAGAGCTGTTACTCAGCTCAACATTAACGAAGGGGGATTTCAACTCGGGAAAATTGTCGTAAAATTGCGTTCTCCTAATTTTATTGTAGAATAATAAAAAAAAAAGATTAAGAAAATAGTTTAAAAACATATCTAAACGTTTATAACATAGCCTACAACGAGTATGCATACAAATTGCTGACTGGGGGAGCCTAACCTCCCGTACCCCACACTCGGCTCTTACTAGTAGAGCTGCAAAACTATCGATAGTGTAGTCAGTCGACTGTTTGACAGCATTTCTGTCGACTGTTTCGATATTATCGACTAGTCGTTATTTGACATTAGAAGAAAAGTTTTTATCAATTCTATTCCAAGTAAATAATAAATATAGCCTTTAATAGTATTGTTTGTTTTTTTTTAATCAGTCTGTATGTAAATTTAAATAAACATAAAAGTCAAATTTTTAATTACTAAGGACCCATTGGTTCTTGTTTAAAAAAAGTAACATGTTAATATTTCTGGGCTTTAGAGCAGATCTTCGATCTGAAGCAATGTAACCCGCTTTGCTGAACATTCGCTCAGATTCAGTTGAGGTTGCTGGGATATGTAAATATTTCCTAGCGCAGCATTTCAAAGTTTTATATTTTGACTCCGACATCTACAAAAAGAGCAAACACACAATATAAATTATTAATACAAAAATATGGGCAGATATTACCTCCCAATATTGTATTGGATTCTTCGCTGTAGAAATATTTATTTGCCTGAAATATTGTTCTAAGATGTGCCCTTCCTCAACTTGAATGGATTTTTTAAGTACTGCACTTTTAAGGAATCCGAATATATCACGTTTTCCTAAGAGAGATGGTGACTGAGGCGATGACAAATTGCTAGAAGATACCTCAAGCGTTCCTTTTTCGATTAGTTCCACTTCACGTTTAAGCTCTGCTGCTGCTTCATCAGCGATCGATAAGAATTTGAAGCCTTCTTTTTTAAAGCGCGGATCTAAAAGAGTAGCTTTTTTTAATAATGGCATTTCCTCAAATGATTTTAATCGGTGAACAAGACGCTCCAGCAAATATTCTCCTATAAAAGTACCCTCCACTGTTTTCATATTTTGACAAGACTCCATTATATTTTTCAGAAGACCACACGTTAAAGGCAATATTAACGAAATTGTCACAGAATCGTTAGCAGATTTTTTTTTCGTGGCATCGTCCACTTGGCTAAATAAATCTTCAATGTCTTCCAAAAACTCAATTTCCTCAGCGTTAAGCGGTTCCGGTGATTTCCGGGTACTTAGAAGAACCGTTGAAATAGAATCTTTCGTTAGTAAAATTCTATTTATCATTTTGTAAGCGCTATTCCACCGCGTTGCTACTTCTTGGATTAAAGACAGGGGAGGGTTTCTAAGCTGCGCGGATCGGAATTTAGCATACGCTATTGAGCTACTTTTAAAAAAACCAACCAATTTTTTGCATTTAATAATAATGTCCTTCAGGGAATAATGCTTTAAAACGTCTTGCATAACTAAGTTTAGGGTATGAGCAAAACATGGCAAATTGAATTTCTGCAAAATCGTACAAGCCTTTTTCATGCTCTGAGCGTTATCAGTAACAACGGCTACTACCTTCTCCCGAATGTTCCACTCATCAAGTACCTTGTTAATTGAATCTGCAATATTTTGACCCGAATGATTGGTGTCATTAATCAATGGGCAAGTGGATAAAACCGCTGATCTTAGCTTGTCCTTTAATATAAAATGGCAAGTAACGGTTAAATAATTAACATTGGCCCTTGATGTCCAACCGTCTGACGTTATTGAGCAGTAATTTACACCCAGAAAAAAAAATGACCTAAAATGTCAAAAAATGGCCTAGAATTTAGGTAAAATTGGCCTTAAACTGGGGCTAAGTCCTTAAATGGCCTAAAATTTAGGATTCCATGACCTAAAAATTTAGGTCATAAATGGCCTAAAATGGGGGTAATTTTTAACCTAGATTTGAGGTAATTGGCTGCCTAAAAATGTAAGAAAACTCCCAATCCAAAATTTTAGGCATTTAACGGCCTAAAATTCGAGTAATTTGTGGCCTTGATTCTAGGTTATGGGCTGCCTATAAACAACCCCATGTCCGATATTTAAGGCATCCAACGGCCTAAAATTTTGGCCAGCATTGACCTTAAATTTGAGCCTCTCATTTTGACCCCAGCCTAATTTTTTGGACAAATTTGACCTAAAAATTAAGGTAATAACTACCTTATTGTAAAAATAAATACAGATTTGTATTATTGTCTTTTATTTATTTCAATGTACTTCATTTTCAGTTATAACTAATTAAAATTGTTTTGGCTTAACATAGTTTTTATCTTTAAGAGCATGTATATGAATAGGCGGGTTAGTTATATTCTTAAGATTAAATATTTTATGTGTTCCATATCCGATCTGGAAGCAGGGACTTATAAATATGGTAGACCTAGCAGAGTAGGAAACTTTACCGTCGTCTGCTGAATCCGTTTTTAATTTCTTCAGTATTTCCAGGCTGTAATTTTTCTTCACTCTTTCTTGCGATAGTTGAAGGAACTTTGATCGAAATGTTGACCATTGAGTTTCCAAATCGATGATAGTCTCTGGATACTTAAGCTCAAAATCTCGACTTATCTAAACAAAAATGTATAATGAATATTCATTTTGATAACAAAGATACAGATAAGCTTACCAATTCATGTCCAAAACTCTGTCTTAAAATTGGCCATTCTTCAAGAATTGCGTTTAAGTTCTTGCTTCCAGTTTGAATCGACAATTTTCTTTCTGAGAAGGTGTGTTCCCAATGTTCCTTGACTATATTCAATGGGGCAACATTGCATTTGAGCCAGTACTTTGCATTATTATTATAGTTATCGTTCTCTAAATAAAATGCAACAAATTATTAATAATACAACATGTATTTAAGTTTAAAGCACCTTCGTCAGCAGGCTCATCTCCGTCGTCTTCAATGTTGACTGTTGACTCAAGGACTCTTCGTTTGGCCAAGGAGTTTCTATACCTGCAGCACAAAACACCTCCAGCTTTTTAATTTTTGATTTGCAGATAGTAAGTCTCCTATCAAAATATAATTCAATAAGTAAACACGTTTTGAAACTTAAATTTAGAAAAATATTCCTTTCTATTAACATAATATAGTTACTACCTTCACTTCAGTTGGAAACATTTCGACTAATTGCTCTGAAATTTCTTTAAACCTCCTAGGTTGCCAATCGATTCCATTACTGATTAAAAAATCGCAAATTAAGTTGCTTATCAGTTTGCGGTGACTCGGCTCAAGGTAGCCCTTCTTTCGATAAAGTGCTTGGATGTTTACAAATTGTGGGTATACTTTTAAAATGCCTAGAGCAGAAACCTAGTAGAGATATAATAATAATTTAGTAATGTAAGGATGAATATTAAAATTCGAATTGTTTTTTTTCTTGCCTGTACTCCGACTTGGCTACTAGCATTATTCCCCTTTTCGCCAATTTGGTTATACCCAATAGGTCTATTTTCAGAAAGTCCATTTTTCTGAAAATTAGTATAGAAATTTTTAGCAACTATAAAAAACATAAACGGACATTTTTATGACTACAATGCTCACCCATTCATTAAAGCGGTTAACTTCGTGCTCAAATCGAACACGCTCCCCAAACAGATGTTTGGGAACTATTTCCTTTAGGTGTTCACCGTTCAGTAAAAGTATGGTAGTTTCATCAATTCCATGTTCTATTTTTGAAATACAAAATTAATTTTTGCGTTTGGTTTTATATTTACATTAGTCGTACCTTCAAAGCACTCTTTCAGCTTCTCGCATTTAAAATCTTTTAATATTTGTTCCATATCTAAAATAAATGTAAGCCTACTGCGCAGCACGAACTGAACGAACCCAATACAAGCGTTCATACATATGAAATATATGTATATATATGAGTGAATACAAAAACATTCACTTGCGCATTAGTAAATTTAATGTGGTATATTAACTTATTAGGCCAACTTATTAAAGCCTTTTCTTTTACAGTGAAATTGAATAAAGCTTCTATAAAGTAAGTGCGCAGTTGCATCTATGAATGTGTGTCAAAACGAAAGTTCTAGAAGAATGCAGATGCATGTATATATGTACATACGTATGTACATATGTGTGTAAAATGGAAAGTTCCGGGAAAAATGAGTTCCTTACTTTTAATGACCTTTTTCCTACAATTGGGAAGTCTGCAGTTTACTTTTGTGTATACTATCCTTTTAACCTGTGTTATTTAGATTACTTACCAGAATATTAATTGATCCAAGCCAGGACACTTGTACACATTCACTTTGACTTTCACGAAATGTAATGCACACTATTATTGTGTATTGTCTTGTGTGCTTCTTCTTCTTGAAGGTCCAGTGTTGGTAATTTCCGTGCGCTATTTTTTGGTCACACTGGCTCAAAAACATAAGCAAACTTAAAATTCAAATTTTTAATTTGTATTTTATCAGCGAAATCAACCGTATGCTATTTCTATTGTTACAGTACTCGTTAGTCATTGTAAATAGTATTCGACCCTTGAGAGAGTATTTTAATTAAGGATTTAACTAGGTTGTTATCGGAATTGATCGATAGCTCAAGAAATATATAAAATTAATTATTTCTTGCGCGGTATTTTTGCGAGCCTAAGTACTGCCGTCCAAAAACTTCAACCAAAATTTTGACACCAAAAATGTTGTGACGTTTTTTATATGAAGTATTTGGTTTTGGACGACTTTTTTTGGGTTGAGTACTGGCCCTTATATCGGATTTTTCAACACTTTTATACAGCTGCCTTATAATACTTAAACATTATCTTTCCTAAAATAGTACCTTAAATAATTTATTAAATACAAATAAGCAATACAATTATTATTTGGTTAGGATCAGCATCAATATTTAACAGACATACTTAGTTAAAAAGGTTTTCAACTGTTAAATATATTTAGGTAAAGTGCAATAATTTTAAGGCCCAAGATGACCTAAAATATTAGGCTATATGTTCCCTAAAAGCTAGGGCAAATAGTCCAAAAATTAAGATTTTTAGGCAGTACATGACCTAAAAATGAACTTTTAGTCCATTTTAAATTTTTTAGGCTATGCATGACCTAAAATTTTGTCCATCATTTTTCTGGATGAACACATTTGAGAAGATTTTGAAGACGTTCCTTGCATTTTTCGTATGACGTCATTAGACACACGTTTTGCAAGGCGGTTCTGCTAGGCAATTTGTATTTCGGGTCCAAAATGCTCACCAATTTTTTTAATCCGGTTTCTTCTACAATCCGAAAAGGTTGCATGTCTGATACAATTAAGTTCATCACAGCGTTGTCAATTTCAATCTTCCGGGGAGAGTCCTGCTCATAGTGCGAGGGTGTAGTACTCTCGCTTATTTCCGGCTCAAGCAAAGACTAATCTTCGCAGTAAGCATGCTTCCTTCTGAGATGATCCCTTAGGTTTGAGGTGTTGTTGCTGGTCTTATATTGCTTGTTGCACAAAAGACATTTTGCGGTCGTCTTGTCGATTTTTTGGAACCTCTTCCATACATCGGAAGCTCTCGGTTTCCCTTTTTCTTGAGAGTCTACTCGTAACCAAATTATTAGATTATGCTGATTAAATAATTTAGTTATACTTACCATTTTCTTTGGAAACAGCTAAAAACTTCTCCATTTTAAATGAAAATAATTTCAAAAGATTCTTTTGATTTTATAAAGAAATATTAGAGTTAAACTATAGAAATGAGCTACAAACGGTACTTGATTAAAAAAAAAAGTCGATAGTAGTCGACTGAAAATCGACTGAACAATCGCAAAGCATACTATCGACTTGTAGTCGACTTCAGTCGATCTTTTGTCAGCTCTACTTACTACGCCTCTGCCTAGCCAATATTAATATGAACAAGAGAGAACGCTATAGTCGGGTTGGTGTCCCGACTATCTAATACCCGTCACTCAGCTAAAGGGAGTGCGAACGCTGTACTCGGGTTGGTGTCCCGACTATCTAATAATCGTAACTCAGCTAAAAGGAGTCCGAGGGAGATAGATATATAAACAATTTTGATTGCGTATAACTTTTTAATGAATGGTCCGATTTGAAAATGTCTTATACATTTCGATAGGTAGAAATATACACAACCAAATTGCATTTATACTTCTCGGAAATCTATAAGGATGTGGGCGCAGGACCCATTTTAAAATCGTTAGTGGGCGATTGTGGGCGTTAGAGGCCAAAGAATATGTGTGGGAAATCTCAACCTTCTAGCTTTTGTAGTTTCTGAAATCTCAGCGTTAATACAGACGGACAGACGGACATGGCTAGATCGACTCGGCTAGTGCCCCTGATCAAGAATATATATACTTTATGGGGTCGGAAACGCTTTCTTCTAGCTGTTACATACTTTTGCACGAATCTAATATACCCTTTTACTCTACGAGTAACGGGTAAAAAAATTTCTAAACAAAACGAAATTTGTGCTGTTTTTGGTAATTTATAGCAACTTTGGAACTTTATAGGAGCACAAAGAACACTTTTAATTAATTTTAGTTATATTTACGAAGTGCAGAACATATTCTGACACTTTGCTGTAAACATTGATGTTGTTGTACGCACAACAGCTTACATTTTGGCCCACACATAGCAACCTGCTTGCGAACGCTTTTCCGCTCATAACAAACTACAAATAATTAAAAAAAATCTAAAAAACAATGAGCTGAAGCATTATTTAATTTTTTCCCGCCATCGATTTGATTTGTTCTCGCAGTCATCATTCCAATTTTCACAGTCAAGAGGAAGAATTCAGAGTTGCACCGAGAAAACATCGCCTAACTATCGCATAAAAGAGCCCGTCAAAGTCCGTCAAAATTGGATGGTGGTCTAACTGGGAAATTTTCGGAACGGCAAAACCTTACGGACCATCCGTTCAACGGATGGTAGATTGTGGATGGAGCTCTGTGGGACCTAAAAAGAAGCCAAGTAGGTCAAAATGTTATTCACGACATAAGCAAGGATTCTGTGAAATGGTCACCACATCAATATAGAGTTTATAACAAACTGATAAAGCAGAGTGTCCTGTGTGTTGATGCCTCTGGTGTGAGGTTTATGGAATATGTGCACGTAGACGGATAAAAGTCACAGCACATATTTTTTCACATTGCCGTGCCCCACTCTCCGTTTGGTCAGTTTGTAGCATCCTCGATGCTGACAAAGAAACAGGACATGCTTTCAATAATAATGCTAAATGGCTCTAGTTGACTCAGCTGAAAAACAACAAGCAGCAAAGGTCGACGACTCAGGTAAACTATATCAGTTAAGAAATAAATATACTCTATATTACTACTATATATTGTATTCCGACCCCATAAAGTATATATATTCTTGATCAGGGTCACTTGCCGAGTCGATCTAGCCATGTCCGTCTGTCCGTCCGTATGAACGCTGACATCTCGGAAACTACAAAAGCTAGAAAGTTAAGATTTGCCACACATATTCTTGGGCCTCCTACGCAGCGCAAGTTTATTTCAGCCGAGCCCACTATCGATTTTAAAGATTTCCGAGAAGTATAAATGCAATTTTATTGTGAAAACATATACCTATCGAAATGTAGAAGACATTTTTCAAATCGGACCATTCATTAAAAAGTTATACGCAATCAAAATAAATATGTATATCTATCTCCCTCGCACTCCCTTTAGCTGAGGTTCAAATATTAGATAGTCGGGACACCAACCCGAGTACAGCGTTCGCACTCCCTTTAGCTGAGTGACGGGTATTAGATAGTCGGGACACCAAACCGACTATAGCGGGACACCAAACCGTTGCTTAGAATTAAATCGTAATGTTTTAAAATTTAAAATATATATTGGTTTTAAAAATATTATAATATTTTTATAAGAAATATGTACATCGTGTTGGAAAGTTTACAGTTTGGAAAACGAATATTTAGAAATTACACTCAAAAAACAAATGTACCTAAAACAAGAGAGAACGCTATAGTCGGGTTGTTGTCCCGACTATCTAATACCCGTCACTCAGCTAAAGGGAGTGCGAACGCTGTGTCGGGTTGGTGTCCCGACTAATAATCGTAACTCAGCTAAAGGGAGTGCGAGGGAGATAGATATATAATTTTTGATTGCGTTTAACTTTTTAATGAATGGTCCGATTTGAAAAATGTTTTCTACATTTCCTGATCAAATTGCATTTATACTTCTCGGAAATCTTTAAAGATGTGGGCGCAGGACCCATTTTAAAATCGTTAGTGGGCGATTGTGGGCGTTAGAGGGGGCGTGACGCTCGGCTAAAATAAACTTGCGCTGCGTAGGAAGCCAAAGAATATGTGTGGGAAATCTCAACCTTCTAGCTTTTGTAGTTTCTGAGATCTCAGCGTTCATACAGACGGACAGACGGACAGACGGACAGACAGACAGACAGACAGACAGACAGACAGACAGACAGACGGACAGACGGACATGGCTAGATCGACTCGGCTAGTGACCCTGATCAAGAATATATATAATTTATGGGGTCGGAAACGCTTCCTTCTAGCTGTTACATACTTTTGCACGAATCTAGTATACCCTTTTACTCTACGAGTAACGGGTATAAATATAGGTGTAATTTACTTAATTTTTTTTTCTTCGTTATAAGAATACTATTTATATCATTTAAGGGGTTATATACAGTTGTGATAGATGAAAAAATCGATTTTTTTATTGCATATTCTTTAATTATATACTGTTGAGAATACTCTCACAAAAATTCATAACGATCGGAGCATTAGAACCGAAGTCGTAGCTATTTATAGCGCACTACCTACACATCGGCCGTTACAAACTTGAAACTTTAAACGCGAATGTTTTAGAATCTTGTTTTTTGGACGAAGGATTTTAATTTTTTTTGAAAACTTCCTTTTTAGAGTATTAAAACCGTCGCCAGGCAATGCAATATACTAACGACATTTTTTTAAATTTTCGATTTAAAACGAACCGTTTTCGGGATATGATGTCCACCGCAAGTCACCATCGAAAAAAGACTATTTTGGAACATAGCATTTTTATTATTTAATATTTTTTTATGAAAAAATTTTAATAAGTAGGGGAGTGTAGGGTAAGGTGACGAACGATTTGTTCTTTAATGCAACTTCTCCAAAAATCAATATTTTTTAAAAGTGTAAAAGCAGAAAGTTACTTACATTTACTAATCATATTTCTAAAAAAATTGGATTCAAAATTTCAACGTAGTCAAGTCCCACAGCGTTTGGTGTAAATCATCCTTTTCACAAACAAAACAATACATTTTTATACCCGTTACTCGTAGAGTAAAAGGGTATACTAGATTCGTGCAAAAGTATGTAACAGGCAGAAGGAAGCGTTTCCGACCCTATAAACTATATATATTCTTGATCAGGATCACTAGCCGAGTCGATCTAGCCATGTCCGTCTGTCCGTCTGTCTGTCCGTCTGTCTGTCCGTCTGTCTGTCTGTCTGTCTGTCTGTATGAACGCTGAGATCTCGGAAACTATAAAAGCTAGAAGATTGACACTTTGCATGCAGATTTTAGGAGTTCCTACGCAGCGCAAGTTTGTTTCAAAAGGGTGCCACGCCCCCTCTAACGCCCACAATCGCTTATATACGATTTTAAAAATTTCAATATTTCGGAAAAGTAAAAATGCAGTTTTATGGTGTTTATCAATACCTATCGAAATGTAGAAGAAATTTTTTAAATCGGACCATTCGTTAAAAAGTTACGGCGGATTAAAGTGTTTAACTCCATCTCCTTCGCACTTCCTTTAGCTGAGTAACGGGTATCTGATAGTCGGGGCACCCGACTATAGCGTTCTCTCTTGTTTTATATATAATTTACGGAAAAGTTAATTTCGATACGGAAAAGAAGGAAGTAATAAGATAATACGCAAACTTACAGAAAAAAAAAGGTCAATGTGCAATTTTTTTAAAATTAAATTAAACTGACGTCACTATTAAAAACAACAATAAAACTGCAGCAGTAAATGTTATCTGGTATTATTATATTTTTATTACAAATAATCAACGATAACAATTAAAATTCTTGAATAAAAAAAATTCGTCACAATACCCTACAAAAAGTTCGTCACGATACCCTACAAGGTAGACTTGGAGCAAAAACGGTGTCACTCTCAAACGGCGCAAAAGAAAAAAACGCGAAGTACCAAAAACTGTTGATAAAGATCTCACGTATACGTGCATATATTTGCCTGATTTTATTTTCCACTCATCTTTGCTCTGGCACTGCTGAAACACAAGTAAATTGAATAGGTATGCTAGTTTGCGCACTACATTTTTAGCGAAAATTACCTCACGAACAAATTACGGGACTTCTTATTAATATTACTGTAAATACATTGTCGACACAATAAGGGGAGACGACTACATTTATTTGGAATTTTTGTCGTGACGTCATATATGAGATTCGACGAGTTCGTCACATTACCCTACTCGTCAAATTACCCTACACTCCCCTACCCAGAAACATGTACTAAACAACGTCGGCAAAACATTTTTAATAAATATTTTTTATAGTGTCAAAAAAAATCGATAAAATTTAATTTTTTTGCGCGGTACATCTGTATATAACCCCTTAACAGATCCGACTGAAAACACTTTCGACAATAAGTGAACACTAGGGTGTGTTTTTTTTTTTTATGAAAAATTCTAAGGTCCCACTCTCACCTCCTTATAATTTGCGCATTGGTGCATTTAAGACATACCAAAAAGAAAAAGTTTAAAAAAATGCGATTTAGGGCCGGTTTCTCGAGACCCTGTCAAAGTCCCTGATAGCTATCTGTTCGAAAAACTTAAAGACCAGATAAACTGTTCGTAAAAGCAAATCCGCTTTCTCGACTGCTTTAATTTATCTGAACGAGAAACAATTATTGTGCTGTGAAGCGCAAAAAATGGCGTGCTTCGATTATTTCATCAAAGGAAATAATTCGATTATTTTCAAAGGAAAAGTCAGTTGTTTCGTTTCTTCTTCATAGTTGGCTTTGGGAAATCAGCTGTCATTTTATCGAGCCGAAAACGCTTAACAGGGACTCCGAGTCCCTGTGAGAGTTAGTTCTCACATTGATGCTCGAGAAATCCAAAATGCCTTAGCAGGGACTTTATCTGTTCGAGAAATGTTAGCCGGCACTCGAGAAACCGGCCGTTAGTACTTTCGCATTGACCTTTAAGTTTATCACTCATACGTACTGTTGCCCTTGATCAAATATTTTAATTTCATATAGAGGGCGTAGACTTGTTATTACTAAAGGTAACCTTGTCACCTTTACAAACGGCTAAAGAAAAATAAAATCGCTATGGCTATATAAGTTTCAATATTTATGGGAGTCGCACCACAGAACTAAAAATTTTTTTAATTAATCGCCCCCAAACCATTGCAGAATATGTGGATAATAAGATGTAACATGGGGTGACCCTCTTAAGAGTGTATCGTGGCCAAAATAATTAAAAACAAACAAAGCAATATAATTGTACCGAAAATTCATAAATTTATTTATTTTGTTATATCCTTGCATTTTATGGTATAGGGTATTATAATTTCAGTCAAAAGTTTGCAACGCAGTGAAGGAGACTTTTCCGACCCTATAAAGTATAAGGGAGTTTAGGGTAAGGTGACGAACGTTTCGTTTTTTGAATACAACTTTTCCAAAAAGCAATATTTTTTAAAAGTGTAAAAGGTTGCTTACATTTACTGGGCATATTTCTGTAAAAGTACGATTTAAAATTCCAACGGAGCTAGGTCCTACAGCGCTGGGCGTGAACCATTATTTTTTTGCACTTTCAAAAGTTGTATGGTAAGGTGACGAACGAATTTTTTTTCGTGTAACTTCCCCAAAAGTAAATTTTTTTAAAAGTGTAAAAGCAGAAAGTTGCTTACATCTACTGAGCATATTTCTGTAAAAGTACGATTCAAAATTCCAACGTAGCAATATCCCACAGCGTTTGGCGTAAACCATGCTTTTTACAGAAAAAAAATATTTAATTCAAAAAAGTCATTTTGGATACGGAAAAGAAAGAAGTAATAAGATAATGGCCAAACTTTTTAAAAAATAATTGGTCAAAGTGCAAATTTTTTTTAAAATTAAATTAAACTGACGGCACATCTAATAACAATACAAAGCAAAACAAGAGAGAACGCTATAGTCGGGTGCCCCGACTATCAGATACCCGTTACTCAGCTAAAGGGAATGCGAAGGAGATGGAGATAAAAACTTTGATCCGCCGTAACTTTTTAACGAATGGTCCGATTAAAAAAATTTCTTCTGCATTTCGATAGGTATTGATAAACACAATAAAACTGCATTTTTACTTTTCCGAAATATTGAAATTTTTAAAATCGTATATAAGCGATTGTGGGAGTTAGAGTGGGCGTGGCACCATACCCTACAAAAAGTTCGTCACAATACCTTACAAGGTACACTTGGACGGTCAAACGGGTCAACAAAAAAAATCGTCAAGTACCAAAAATTTTGATTAAGATCCCATTTATACAAGCATATATTTATATGATTTTATTTTCCACCCATTTTCGCTCTGGAACTACTAAGGGCCGGTTTCTCGAGTGCCGGCTAACATTTCTCGAACAGAAAAAGTCCCTGCTAAGGCATTTTGGCTTTCTCGAGCATGAATGTGGGAGCTAACTTTGACAGGGACTCGGAGTCCCTGTTAAGCGTTTTCGACTCGATAGAATGACAGCTGATTTCCCATAGCCAACCAAGAAGAAGAAACGAAATCACAGCTGACTTTTCCTTTGACATATACCCAAACAGCTGATGAAATAATCGAAGCACGCCATTTTTTGCGCTCTACAGCACAATTCTGTGCGTTAACAGCACTCTGTAATTGTTTCTCGTTCAGATAAATTTAAGCAGTCGAGAAAGCCGATTTGCTTTTACGAACAGTTTATCTGGTCTTTAAGTTTTTCGAACAGATAGCTATCAGGGACTTTGACAGGGACTCGAGAAACCGGCCCTAAAACAAATAAATTCAATAAGTTTGCTAGTTTGCACACCTCCTTTTTAGAAAAAATTACCTCATGAACAAATTACGAGACTTCTTAATAATATTACTGTAAAATTTAAAGTGTAAATACATTGTCGACACGATAAGAGGAGACGACTAGATTTATTTGGATTTTTGTCGTGACGTTATATGTGAGATTCGTCGAGTTCGTCACATTACCATACTCGTTAAATTACCCTACACTCCCCTATATATTCTTGATAAGCATCACCAGGAGAATCGATCAAGCCATGTCCGTCTGTCTTTTCTTGTTAAGCCGTGTTATTCGTCAAAATTGTTCGAAAGTGTTTTTCTGTTACGATTGGGATACGTTTTTCTGTGGTGCTCAACACATTGAAGAACGCATTGTGTTTGTTCCTTGCTTTGTGTCAGTTTGCCGTGGAAATCCTCCATCGTTTGTACTGCTCGTTCGGCTACATCATTTACGACGCCTAAGGAATTTATTGCAGCCATTGCCTGTACTTTACCGGAGGAGTTAGGGATTTCCGGCGTATCCAAAAGTTTTTCTTTCCCAAGTCCGGTATAATTGGAAGACGTTTGACTGGCTTATCATTTGCATCTGAATAGATAAGCTAGTAAGAATACTTGGAAAAAGAAGAAGAACTACTCACTATTCGGAGGAACAAGCTTTCCATCCCAGTGTACGGTTAACGCTCTAGGCATGGTATAATTATAGAAGGTAGTCTCGTCGGCTGCCTAATCGTTCGGCTTTTTGTCAGTGCTTGTCAAAGGAAAAGGTTGTGTGCGGACGATTTTTTTCAGAGTATTAACCCTTGTGTAACGATGACGTTCTGCAACCTCTGTCGAAACAACAACAAAACAAGGATTAATTTCAAATTCAAAATTATTAAAAACTAAATTATAAACAACTTTAACTCTCTTTACTATAAATGAAATATTTAAACCCCATGCACCATCTAAGGGTTAAACAACAAGCTCTATTGTCGTTTCACTCGCACTTACTACGCACACTCCTCTCACTCGCACTTGTTGTGAGTATTGTTAACGGACTGCTTTTTGCCGACTACCTTCTATAATTGTAGCATGGCTCTAGGTACCACCTCGGCGAAGTTCTTTTTTTATCTTTTCGGGTCTTTCTTTTCGCAGCTGTGCTCGGCACTTTAATATACTGGATTGACTTATGACAACCGTATCCAAACCTATGCCGCGGGCCTCCACAGTAGCTTCTAATAGGAAAACTGCGCTTCGAGAACTTATTTGACACCTATCCAGAACCTCGACCAACTTTGGCGTTATGAAAGATTTTTTTAAAATTCTTTGGAGTTTCGTATTTTTGCTTTTTTTCAGTTTGGCTTCGAACTGCATTCAGATTCGCCATCGCTTGAAGTTTGTTCATAGTCCATATCTAAGACTTCTATTTCTGCCTCTGAAACTTCTGCATTGTCCATTGCGTTATTGATACTAAATACGGTATCCAAAGAAATTTCAAATAAATTTAACCTGTTGCGGTAAAGTTTTTAATATTAAAACATTCTTTATGCACTCGCAAAATTTGCTCTTTAATGTGATGCAAAGGACGTACTCGAATTTCCTTTCTCTCCCATACGGTAACCAGCATTTTTGCAACAAGCTGAGCACTTTCAGATAAGGTTTGCTTCAGAAGTACGGTCTTTTTTGACGGCAAAGTTTCTTCTTCATCAAAATTTAAATTCAGCCTTCCAACCAAAAAAAGGTGCTCTCCATTTTGTAAACGATTATGAACGAAATCAAATATTTGACAACTCTAGGTATGAGAAAAGATTTGCCTACCCAAAACTCATACTGGCTTACGTGCCGTATGAGTAATCTTTTTGGATACTTTGAGACTTAATTTAATTTAAATTTTTTTTTGGATTTTAGTTTAAGTTATTTTGCACAAATATCTTGTGTTTAAAAGGGTGAGAAAAAAATGTATTATAAAAAACCGCCCTAGTGAACACATAGAACGACCAGTTACCTCGCTGAATGGGCTTCGGGTATAAAAAAGGAAGTAGATGAGATTGTGGAAAGCGAGAAAGGTGATGATCTTAATCCTCGTGAATGCGAGCAGTTCTCAAAACGGCTTCTAAAGCCGATCAGGACAATTCCTCTGTGGTCTAGTTTGGCCCGCAAACATTTTGGAAACGGCAGGATTCCAGCTAGCCGCGCACCAGTTGAAATCGAGTTTAACTCAATTAAAAATAAGGTTAAATTTTGAAGAGAGCATTAAATTGATAAATTGCTCAGCAAAAAAAAAAGAACGCTCTTCGTGAAGATCTGGAGTGCAATTCCGAAGATATCGAGGCAACAATTAAAAATCCGCAAAGTTCTACAGAACCTCTTTTGAATATCACCAATGTATTCGAAGATGTCTGTAGCTTATCCGATTTAGCTGTGTAGTCCCAGCCGCAGCCGGAGACGCGGCCACAGGCCCAGCGGCGTGGGAGGGCGTCGTCCACGACCTGAACTGGTCGGACGGGACGGCGCCCAGCGGAGCAGCAGCCGGAGCCGTAGTCCCAGCCGCAGCCGGAGACGCGGCCACAGGCCCAGCGGCGTGGGAGGGCGTCGTCCACGACCTGAACTGGTCGGACGGGACGGCGGCCAGCGGAGCAGCAGCCGGAGACGTAGTCCCAGCCGCAGCCGGAGACGCGGCCACAGGCCCAGCGGCGTGGGAGTAAATTAATTGATAAATTGCTCAGCAAAAAAAAAAAGAACGCTCTACGTGAAGATCTGGAGTGCAATTCCGAAGATATCGAGGCAACAATTAAAAATCCGCAAAGTTCTACAGAACCTCTTTTGAATATCACCAATGTATTCGAAGATGTCTGTAGCTTATCCGATTTAGCTGTGTAGTCCCAGCCGCAGCCGGAGACGCGGCCACAGGCCCAGCGGCGTGGGAGGGCGTCGTCCACGACCTGAACTGGTCGGACGGGACGGCGCCCAGCGGAGCAGCAGCCGGAGCCGTAGTCCCAGCCGCAGCCGGAGACGCGGCCACAGGCCCAGCGGCGTGGGAGTAAATTAATTGATAAATTGCTCAGCAAAAAAAAAAAGAACGCTCTACGTGAAGATCTGGAGTGCAATTCCGAAGATATCGAGGCAACAATTAAAAATCCGCAAAGTTCTACAGAACCTCTTTTGAATATCACCAATGTATTCGAAGATGTCTGTAGCTTATCCGATTTAGCTGTGTCTGGAGTCACTTGTTTTTTATGTACCAATCTTGTCCAGGATGGAAAAGATGTACAGGTCTGCAAAGATTGTTTTGAATGCTCTCACAACTCACCCAGAATAGCGTTTAACGCGGTCGAAAAATGGAGAGGGTTGGGGCAAAAAAACACAAAAATACGAAATAGCTCTACACTCAAAATAAATTTAACCCTAAATTTTAGAAAATCGCCATTAAAATTTCTTTTTTCTAAATACAAGAAAGTTATTTCTAAATCTAAGGAAATTTTTCTTAAGTCTAGAAAGTTTTCCTTAAATCCAGGAAGTATTTCTTAAATGTAGAAAATGGTTACCATGAACTAAAATCACCCTAAAATCTAGAAAAAATGCCCTTAAAATTAGAAATAATTTTCTGAAAAATAGAAAGGCAAACGAAAATAATAAAATATTTTGGCAACACTTTTTCTAAAAATGAGTGCCCTAACCCTAAAATTAAGCTAACCCTAAATAATAGAAACATTTTCTAAAAAGTAGAAAGTTTTTCTAAAAAATAGAAATAGTTGTTTTCACATGCTCTGGCACACCAAAATGTTCAATGCCAGAACTTGTCAGCTGCCGGGCGGCTGTACTCGTAGCGCAGACGGTTAAAGCGCTTGGTTAGAAATCGAATCGACCCTAATTCGAGTCCCAGAGCAAACTAATTTTTACCTTTTTTTTAAAGTTTTTTTTTTAAAGTTTTTTTTTAAATTTGTTTTTTTACTCTTTTTTTATTCCTTTTTTTATTGATGGCAAGCGGTAAACCGAAAATAATTTGGTTTATATTTAGCTATTTACTATATACAACACATAAAATAAATTGCGATAGCATAAATATATACATATGTATATATGTATGTAAATAAGTAAAACGCGAATGGTCAAAATTATGCAATTAGTATTCAAATGTATTCTCCGCTTGACCCTTTACATACAATGCTCGGTTTGCCACAGCAAATTTAAGTGCTACAATGGCCCAGTATGTAGGCCGTTCGCTCCTCGCGCGGGAGACCCGGGTTCGATTCTCACCGACGGACAAGTAAAAATGTACGTTTTTTTCATGAAGATAAAATATTAACTAATCATAATTTCTACATTTCCAATCTTCCGCAGTCCCGTAGTCCACATTTACAACAACATTTGGCTTTGGTTAGATAAGAAATCCAAGCGCAAATACATAATAATAAATACATAACCTTTAACATTCACAATATACAAGACACACAACGCCTGCATATGTATATAGGGAGGAGTACATAATATAAACGTATATACAAAAAAAATCATGATTGAACATGTTTTTTTGTTTTGTTTTTAATTTCTATTTTTTAGGAAAATTTCCTACTTTTTAGAAATTTTTGCCCTTAAATTTAGTAAAATTACCCTAAAATTTAGAAATATGACGTCAAAAAAAATCAAAAATATAGAAAAATGTGACCCTAAAATTTAGGGCGAGCTTGTCTTGAAGACAAAAGTAGGGCGATTTCCTTGACTTTAGGGTTAATTTTATTTTGAGTGTATGATGAGAATAGCTCTATTAATGATGACTTTTTAAACAAGGTGTCCATTTTAAAAAATGGCAGTAATTCTACTTTGGGATTGGTCAATGTAGAAGGCTCAACTTTTTGTTTTCGGAACACTTGTGCCCTTGACAGTGTGTTTTCAGGTACTTTTGGCTGGAGTGAAAAATTCTAGACCATTAAAGCAGTACATAAAAAAAGAAAAAGATTGAAAATAATTTTTTTGACATAGTTTTCAATGTGTCCGAATCGAAAGTTGACGCTCAGACCTACAGAAAACGTAAAAAATAATTATCCTCATGTCATAAGAGCATAGAGCAGCGGTCGGCACACACGTGCGTTGACATTTTGTTTTATATTTGTGCGAGTAATTTGCACTGGGCAGCTCATCGATGTGTGTGTGCAGACCGCTGTGTACGAGCAGCGCGCTGGCAGAACAAAACTTAATAGGGCGCTGCCGGCCGCTGAGTATAGAGACGCCATTTGCTCTGCCCGAACCTCTGCCCAAGCTCTGCTGAGAGCCAATTCAAGGCCAAGTTCGAAGCGAACATCGATTTCTCACCGCATCCAACATGTGCTAAGCAACAACAGCAGTGGTGAGAGTCCACATACAAAAACAAAACAGTCAGTGAGAGCGGTGCAGATATATATAATCCCATAAAACTCACCATGGGCCCAAAATGCATGTTTAAATCGAACATATGAAAAATTAGGGAAATTTTCGTTTTTCGAATTCGCCGAAGAAAGCGGCAGAGCAAGCCTCTATATAGTTTCTTACTCTATGCTCATGTTGGTTCATCAAATCTTTACGAAGTGTTAAAATACAATTTTTGTATTTGCAAGGCCTACTAGTAAAGACAACGATTTGCATCAAGCAACAAAAGCGCAATGTGTAAGATAGGGAAAGCACTCCGGCTTTCTCGTGTACGTATTGCAGTTCTCTTCTTTTGTAGTGTGAACGAGGTTTTCAGAGTTTATCCGAATTGCATGTAGCATAGTCTTATTGTAAATCAGCTGGGCTCACCAATTTTAAAATATTACAAAATGTTGTTATTGGCACACCGCTTCTGCGCACAGCCAAAGATAAAATTTTTTATTCTTTGGGCCGCGGCCAAAGGTGTTCATCGGAAAATCAGGTATTTTTTTTGTATTTCCTTACCATTTGTTTAGCTCATTTGAGTACCGCGGTGAAGGCTTTACCTACCTATTTACCTCTCGCTTACTGCTATGGCTAGCTAGCAGTTAACGAAATCACAGCTGACTTTTCCTTTAAATTATACCCAAACAGCTGATAAAATAATCTAAGCACGCCATTTTTTGCGCTTTACAGCACAATTCTGTGCGTTAATCTGTAATTGTTTCTCGTTCAGATAAATTTGCTTTAGTCTGCTTTAGTCGAGAAAGCGGATTTGCTTTTACGAACAGTTTATCTGGTCTTTAAGTTTTTCGAAAAGATATGTAGCTATCAGGGACTCAAAAAACCGGTCCTAAGTGCATCAATATTAATAACTTTGTCACAGAAATTTCTTTCTTACACTCAGAAAATGAATCGCCCTGAATTTTAGAAAATCGCCTATGGATTTGCTTCACTGGCGATTTTTTTCTTTAAAATAAAAAAATTTTCTACTGGTAAAGAAAATTTTCTTCCAATTAATCAAAATTCATTAAATTCAAGAAATATTCCAGAAATATAGAAAAAAATCGCCAGTAAAGCAAATCCATAGGCGATTTTCTAAAATTTTTTTTTGAGTGTAGGTTGGATTACTGCGTTGATTTACGTACACCCAGAAAAAAAAGAACGAAAAAAATCAACAACATTTTTCATGATTTAAGAGCAATCCGTTCGCTACTTTTCTTTCATGAAAAACGAACGCCGCGGGGCCAAATCTTTACATTTTTGGTAAAATTTTGAACGGGTCACAGAAAAGTGTTGAGCCTTGAACGATGTGGTAGAGACCTGCACGAGTAAGTAAAAATATACTCGATTACTACTCGGCAATGCAGATTCCAACTGTCAAATCTGGCATCGTGGCATCGTAGAATCGTTCCGAGGTTCCGAGGCATTATTTGTCCACAGATGCCTTCAGATTATGTTCAAATATGGTCTTATACTGAGAACGAACCATAATACCCTCGACGATGACCAAATTTGCTACTCCCGAGGCTTCAACTGTTCCCCACACCACACCACTCCCGCCGAAGTGCTTTACCGTCCAAATTAGTACTGTGGTGGGAGTATGGTAGGAAAGTCTTGGTGTCGGGATCAGATCAAATCAAATCGGTCAACTATATCTTATAGCTGCCATATAAACGCTTATTACAAAGGGGAATATCTCGGTTCTTTTTCGATACTTGTTCATGTAAATCAGGTTTTAGATTTTATTTCGATAACAAATTAAGTTTAGATTTATATTTTCAGCAAAATAAAACAAACTTAAATTATAATTTCAATTTTTTATTCATTCATCATTTTCATCACTACTGTCAGAACAGTCAAATGTATTCGCATACTTATTTTGAGAACTGGGAGGACTTTTTATAAGATCTAGAGCTGACTTTGGCATTTTTTCTTTTTTTTTTGAGTTTTAAAAAAGCTAGAAATAATGGAATCCGAGCTGATAAGCAATCTATTAAACACATCCTGGTTTGATTTTTCGCGACTGGTTTTTCTGGAATTGAATTCTTTGAAATGCTTAAAATTCTTATTCCGTGCTTCCTGTGCTTCCTCAGTTAATTGGTCAATAGGTAGCAAAGCATGTTCAATTATTTCCGGACCACGAATAAAAAATTTGTGCAGAGTTGGTGGCATATTATACCACGGATAGAGCTTTACAAAATGTCTATTTCAATCTCTTTATTGGTGAAATAACGATTAAAATGGTATGAATTTCTTTAATTAAATCCATATCTAAGTGTGTAATTTCTGCAGACTGCTCAGCATTTTTAAAAAATCTTCGAGAAAATGTTTAATATTTTAAACTTCCAAATCCAGGCTTTGGTACATCAAATAGTAAGCCCAGTATTCTTTTGAATTCGTTTTGAATACGTTTTTTATTACTGTCAAAAATATCTTTGTCCTCGACCGACCTTGCTTGCCATCTTTTAATGGGTAGTTTATAAGAAACATGTAAAAGACATTCAAAAAGAATATCCAACCATGCAAGATTGAAAGTCCGAACTTCAAATTTTCTGTTTTCACAGCTTTTTGTAACATATTATCTATGTTATTAAATTGCTTGCTCGTTGAGCCGCATAAATAGCATGTTCGTGTTGATGTTGCTTCTGTGATGGCATTG